GAGATTTTCTGATCTATTGCCTGTGTTACAAAGAAAGACACTAAGGTTTGAAAACAATTGACTCCTCAGTCCTAGTTAGGTTAGTCAGTGGCAGACCTAAAAACAACTTCTCTGCCTCTCAATTCAGTTTTAGCCTCAATCTCCATTCCCTCCCTTCCAAAAAAAAAGGGGGGGGGACGGGTAGGTCAGTTTAGGAATAAGTCTGTACTATCATCTAATGATCCTTACTTTCTCACAAACTAAATCTTAAAACGTTGCAGAATTTTGCTGTGATGCTGTTCTCTTCAGATTTACCAATCTGTGGAAACCAAAATGAGGTGTTGGACATATTCTTGGTGCCCAGTCTCCCATTATCTTTCTTTTCTTAGTTTTTTTTTTTTTTAATCTTAGAGATGGAGGGGCAGAGAGGGAGAATCCCCAGTAGGCTCCATGCTCAGCACGTAGCCCCACGCAGGGGCTCGATCCCGTGATCCTTGGGATCATGACCTGAGCTAAAATCAAGAGTCGGACACTCAGCCAACTGAGCCACCCAGGTGCCCCATTCCATCATATTTCTTGATGTTTTTACATTATAGATAAGGATTCTGTAATCCTATTTCAACATTCTTGTACACAAATTGTCCACATCTAGAAACCTGAATCTGTTTAATGTAGCAAGGTAATTTATACTCTGCTTTATTACCAAAAGGATTTCAGATAGTTTACATATTCTAAGAACAAGTGAAAGTCAAAAAATAGGTAAAAGAAAAAAGGATGGCAAAAGATGAAAGCATACAGAATACATGTTGTAAAATGTTACACAGTAATTAAAATTCAGCTGTAAGGTTTGGTTTTGAATGTCTTGGAAGCCAAGGCAAAAAAGATGATCAGTAATGAGATTCAAAGAATCCAGTTTACCAGCTGCTTAGAAGCAACTAAGCTTTTCCTAGCATTTTGTCAAGAGGAATCGGGGCGCCTGGGTGGCTAAATCAGTTAAGCGTCTGACTTTGGCTCAGGTCAGGAGCTCACGGTCATGAGTTTGAGCCCCACATGGGGCTCTGTGCTGACAGCTCAGAGCCTGGAGCCTGTTTCCAATCCTGTGTCTCCCTGTCTCTCTGCCCCTTCCCCGCTTGCACCTGTCTCTCTTTCATTCTAAGAAATAAACAACAAACAAAAAGGAATGGCCGTGTCTGCATGTCTAATCTTGCATGAGTGTTCTTAGATGTGGGCTTTACACAGAAATCTGGGGAACAAAGGCCTGGAATTGAGAGTATTCTGTTCATCACTCAAAGGCAGATATTTTTTTACTTTACAAATCAAAGTAGGGTTGACATTCTCTCATGAAATTTAAAAACCAGATCACCCACAACCTCACATATGGCTGGAAGAACAATTAGGAAAAAAAACCCTTGCCATTCATTCTATCAACCTCTCACCTATTTGGGGCTTTATTTTCTATTACTGCTGTTAGTTCTGCATTTTCAAACTGAAAGATTACTCTTCTTGGAATAGTAACAGTGGGTTGTTAACAACATCCATGAATATTTTAAGACATCAAGTACAGTGCCCTTCCCTTTCTTGCTCTGAACCTTTGAAGGAACGTTCAGTGACTTACGTGTATAACAATTTACAGTATTGTTTTACAAATACCTCCGATATCTGTGGGGTTGACAGGGCAGGTACAATGCAATACTCTGTAGATGAGAAAACGGAGGCCCTGGAGATGGAGCGGCTCGTCCAGGGCCACGCCGGTCATGTGTCTTCGCTTGGAGCCTGGCCCCTTCTACTTGTTGTTTTCTCCTCCCCTTGTTTCGTGAGCCCAACTCCAGTCCTCTACCATTCTGGGATCCAGCCACTCTAGATAAAAGCTGGACTGTGCCATATTTTTATACATGTCATTTTAAAAAGCTCTTTCTGCAAGTACATTCGTTTTTTGGATGACTATCCTGGTCTAAAATTGAAATCAATTATGATTATGAACATGTGTTTTTATCTCTTTTTAGAATTTATATCTTGGATATAAGCTTCCTCAAGCCTAAAACACATTATCTAATTATATTCCCTTCACTATTATAAAACCTTGGATGGTTTAAAAATTCGCTCAAATAGAGAATACTTGCATCAATTTCCTCTAGTTTGAAACACTCCAAGTAGCTGTTCTCACTGCTTAAAAAAAAAAAAAAAGCTACCATCAAAGTATGCAAATAGTATTAGATATTCTACTTTTGAACTACTTCGCTGCCATCAGAATAACTGAAATCTAGTCTTTCGGCCACTATTTGGCCTCTGGATCTCGCTTCTGTTCTATACTGCGTAGGTACTACAAAGTATTTGACTCAGGTGTTTGACCATTTTTCACTGACCCGATCTCTTCCTCCTCCACCTATCACTTTTCTCTCCAATTGTACTCACTTGGGGCCAAAGGAGCATGTTGGCAGGGGAAAGAAGCACGTACTCTGGAGTCAAGACCTATTAGCTGTCACGTCACTTTGGTCCACGTATTTGATGTTTTACATCCATTTTAAATTAAGAGTAGTTGTAGAAACATTAATAATAAAGAACAGCTGTAAGATCATATATGTAAAGCTCTTAGAGGCAAAGGTGTAAGGAGTTCAAATGTTAGTTTCTTTGTAAGTATACACCACCATGCTTTGCTTGAGTAAATGAGGTGGTCATTCCTATTCCTACCACCTTGTAGAGGGGAATCTACTGAAATAGGGCACGGAGGAGGAAAAAAAATCCATCGCCCCTCATTCTCTCTTCAAATCGGCACAATTTTACCTTCTCTCCGAAGACTCCTACTATGACCACGACTAAAATATTATGTGATATAAAAAGAAAAGCCAAACCAAAAGGTACAGAGGGATGGAATAAGAGAAATCTGTTAAATGGAACATGCTTAAAAATTTAGAATACATTTTAGATTTGTTACTTACCATTCTGCCTTCCGGTTACTCTGATAGTCCGTAAGGCAAAGGTGTCTATAAAGACTTAAAAGGAAGAATAAAATATGAAGTATAATCCAACAAGATTTAATACACTACTAAGAAATTATTTACCTAAATGCTCCCATAATTACATTTTAAATAGACAAATACAAAAGCATCAAACACAAGCATACTGAAGTGTTTAGGCCTCCTGTCACGGTAACTCCACAAGACCACTCATAACGAAGAGTTCCATTATAGGTTTTCCCCCATCTCCTTAATTTATGGGAACATTACAATCACAAAGTGTTTCCATTTTTTTTGTTCATTAGCATTCCCACCAACCCCTAGCCTAACGCTCAACCCATCGCCTGTTAATTCATATATTGGTGGACATTTTAAATTCAGACATTATTTTGGCTTTCATACTCATCTGGAATGGTTTGCTTAAGGCTGTCGTGATAGTTTCTCTTCAGGCTGGTGTACTTTGGGGTAGGCAAACTATTTAATGCTGGTACTAGTGAGTATTCTAATCAGTATTCTGTTTCTCAACAGCATAGGATTACCATTATTGAACCAAATGACAGTTGGTATAGATGTTCTTCCTGCTTACCATTCCCTCCAGGCAGCCCTAAGATTTTGTGTGTGCAATGTACTGAAAACCTCATTTGTTTCCAAAGTAGCTCCAATGCAGAACATTTGGGTGAACCATTTTGGGGGACTCCAACCTTGATGCCTAGAGATACTACATAAGCACAGAACAGATGCCTTTCATGTGCAGCTACAGACCCACCTTTGTCTGCTTTGAAAATGAAGGTCTGTGGGTAAATGGATACTGTCGGTCACCATGTTAACAGTATTCAAAGATCAAATCTACTCCCAGATTCTTTTTTGGACTAAAAAGACAAGATATTAAAAGCACTAGCTTTAAAAGACCATTTATTATTCTTAAATATTTACAACTCATGGGTTAAAATATTTACCAGTTTATTACCAATAGGTTATTTGTTGGGATTTTGTTTGGAGGGGGCTTCGCCTGCTATCTTTACCACTTTTATTTCCTATGGAAGAGAATTCCAGGTTATCTTTCAGACATTTTATACTCTTCTTTCTAGACGTTTTGAACTAGTCACCTGGCTATCTTAGGAAATTTCAATGACAGCTTCGTTAATAGGCTTTCTACTTTCCCGTCTCTGAAAAGCAGGTCCCACTTACTTTCTTAGCTATTGCCACATAACAGTTCCTAATTGTGAAAAGCACAGTCCAATACAAATAGACACTGGGTGACTTCACCAGTATATACCATAGCATTCCAATGGAAAACGATAAATGCAAAACAGTGATTAAATAGTGAAGACTGCCTGACCATGGAATCTCTTTAAGAAACACAATTATGGGAACGTGGAGGCAGAGCAAGCATTACTTATGAAGAATGCATCAAGGAAACCTGATATTGTCACTTAAATAACAAAAAAATGCCTTCAGGCTAAATAGTCCCTTCGTACACGGCTACTGTTAGACCTGAAGTAAAAATATCTTAGAGATTTAAGAAAATCACTATAAATTACTCTATAACTTATGGTATGCAAGGGTTTAAAATGTTCATAATGTTCTTATTTACTTCATCTTACATGAAGATATAAAAAAATAAATATTGCCATGCATATCTTGTTGGCATTCTAAAATCCCACAAATAAATAACTTGAAATGCTATCTAGAGAAATTGCTCCTGTATACTTATTATTATCTACGGAGGACACAAGCAAGTCTGTTTTTATATAGCATCCTTAAACTGAAAAAAGCTACAAAACAAGCCTAATTGAAATACCCTTAAATGATCAAAATGTAATGCTAAGGGAAAGAAAACAATACAAGCCAAAACTGGAGTGCAAACACCTTTTTTGCTGTAGGTTTTAATGGAAAAGGTTTGTGGACTAATGGGATTCCTGGGTTCCCAAGGGCATGCTGGAAACACGGAAAATGATGTAAAAGAAATTGGGAATCCTTCCTCAGGCAACTTTTTATCCTATTTCAGTTTCCTGAAACATCCCTGGTTAAGACTTCTTGTGATGAAAAAGACACAGACGAGCAAATTTATAAAAGTCCATCAGGTTCCTCATTAAAGCTGAAGTCACACACTAGAGACAGATGGTCTGAAGGGTAATTAAAAGACGGTAGCCGGTTGGGTCCAATCTGTTCTTCGGTGAGCAAATCAAGAGCTGACCTCACACTCAGAGCGTGTTTAGAATACCAGATATAATCCAGCGTGTGCCGGCACTCCCCTGAGGTCCGGATCTTCCAGGTAGTATACGGGGGCTCTGACTGCCCGTCAGCACTCAGCAGCTTGTAGGCACTGTTCAGGTTGAGGCTGGAGGAAGCAAAGTGTTTGTAGACCTCCTCTGTTGGCTCTGCGTTGAAGTCCCCACAGACGATAAGGGGAATCTTGGCTCCTTGAGTGATGTTTTGGAGGTTCTGGAGAAGGTCACAACCCTGAGCTGAGCGAAATCGTTCCCAGCCAGTGCGTGCTTTTAGGTGAGTGACAGCGATACAGAACTGTCTACTGGACTCCTTGCACTCTAGGGTCTGTGCAATGGCCACCTGATTGGTTTTCAGTGTCATGGCCGTCAGCCTGATATTGGCACTATTGACTAGCTTGAATCGGTTCTGGAGAAAAAACAAGGCACAGCCATCTGGTCCGTTGTTGTGTTCCACGTCTAGACAAGGTGACCAGGGCTTGGGGAAAAATGTGCCTTGATAGCCCAGTCTACTGAGGAGTGGCTGGAAGGTGTCAAAATAATGGTCCACCTCTTGGAGGCACAATATATCAGGCTGGTAGGCCAGGATTTCTTCTAGGATGAGACATTTCCTTTCTTCCCACTTGAGTGCTTCCACAGGGCATTGCACAAAGTTGTCTTTTCCTTCTCCAAGAGCTGAAATAAAAAAGCCAGTCAGCTGTCAGCTACTACAGGACACATGACTTCTAAGTACCTGGAAGTCTCCTTAGGTCTGACAGTACTCAAGACCCTCAGAACGCTTCCTCAACTTCAGATGCTTTGGGTGATTCTTCTCTGTCTAATCCGCATTAACCTACCAAACTAAATAACCTCTTACTATCCAAATGAGGCAAGCAATTTCTTTTCTTTCATATTAGAACTGTTTCATGTAGGGGTGCCTGGGTGTCTCAGTTGGTTGGGCAGCCGACTACAGCTCAGGTCGTGATCTCGTGGTCTGTGAGTTTGAGCCCCACATTGGGCTCTGTCCTGAGAGCTCAGAGCCTGGATGGAGTCTGCTTCCGATTCTGTGTCTCCCTCTCTTTCTCCCCTCCCCTACTTGCTCTCAGTCTCTCTCTCAAAAATAATAAACAATAAAAAAAAAGTAAAAACAAAACAACAAAACTGTTTCATGTAACTATATTCTAGGATATAAGATCTTAAGTTTTAGCTTGAAACAGTGTTCTTTACAATCCCTGGGATCTAACCTATGTCAGAGGAAGTAAATATTTAACTCTGTACACTAATTTTTTAAGGAAGATTTTATTTTTAAGTAATCTTTATACCCAACATGGGCTTAAAACTCACAACTCCAAGATCAGGAGTCACATGCTCTACTGGCTGAGCCAGCCAGGCACCCCATCTATACGTTAACACTAACTATAATGAACCATAAGGACTGATGCAGACACTACTTGGAATGAATGGAACCTATTTTAAATAGGCAGCTTTTCCAATCAAATACTGGGAAGTCAGGGTATACACCCTTCTTAAAAAAGCTGCCTTTGTTTCTTTTTCTTAAAATTTCAACTGCAACATGAAAGGCAATTCTACAGAGAGCCGACCGACACATTTTTTTAAATTCAGCAGACCTACGAAAGACAGACTTTCTGCCATAACAAAGTAATTTCTTAATGAACTAAAGCATTATCTCCTTAGCCTCAGGTTACAGATGCATATGGGTGGGAATCTAGCTTCAAGAACACCCAGACTCGGGGAGCCTGGGTGGCTCAGTTGGTTAAGCATCTGACTTCGGCTCAGGTCATGATCTCGCGGTTCGTGGGTTTGAGCCCTGACAGTGCCAAACCCACTCTGGATCTTCTGTCCCCCTCTCTGCCCTTCTCCTGCTTGCGCGTGCTCTCTCTCAAAAATAAACATTAAAAACAAACAAACAAAAAAAGAATATCCGGATTCACCACCACCCACAGAGGCCCCATTCCCTGCAGAAAAGTCCTATATGTTACCCATCCAGCAGACTTAGTTTCTGCCTTGCCAATGCTATCCTAGTGCTGTGGACTGAAAGTTGGAGGCAACGGAAAGTGTGAGAATGATAAAAGACAGGGTCCTTTAAATATGGATGTGCTAGGAAGCAGACATTGTATTTGGATAGCCTACAAACATGGAAGGTAAGGTATAAATCTTGAGTTGCTGGATTTGTTAGTGAAAATCAGATGGCTCCCTTTCTTACCCTCCCCGTCTGGGAGCTCCTCATACTGCCCTGGTCACCCCGTCCTCCTACACCTCTATCTGCCCACGCCTCTTCCCTCCACGTAACACATCAGTGCTTTAGGTATGCGCAGAAACAGAAAGGTAGTCACAGCAAACTTAACTGCTCAGGCACAAAAGCATCAGGCATACCTTGGGCAAGGATGTTCCACTGCATGACCCTAATAGGTGGGTGGCTGCTGGGGTGATCCGTCCTCAGGTCCACAAAATCCCTCTGGAATCGGGGGGGTCGAGTGTGCAGGACAGCCCTGCATTCCTCAAGGAGTTCTTTAGGATCAATGGGCTCCAGATGTTCTGGATCAGGTGACACCAAATACTCCGGGTGCTGGGAGGCAGTGCTGCTGTTCAGTGTCTTGGCGAGAGCACTATAGAGCCTGCTCGTGCCGTGTCCCATGGAGCACACTACAGGGAAGGAGAGCACAGTCACACGCCCCGCTCAACCAGAAGATAAAACATTCACCGTCCCTAGAAGCCAAGAACCCGACAGAGGGCAATGTTGCCATGTTCATGCAGAAAGCCATTGCCACAGAGGTGGATTAAAGGAGTTGCCAGGTTCTAGCTTTCTACTAGGACAGGTAACTTAAATACAAATGTTAAAGTCGGTTTCTGATTAACTAAGATAATTCTTTTAAGGGAGAAATATCTTCATCTTTATGGCCTCTTCTAATTTAGGATTTGTCTTTATAATTTATAAACCCGGTCTTAATGAAAGCATGGCTCAACAAAATTCACATTCCTTTTTCTAAATATTTTACTAAAAATTTGGAGGCCAGTTTGGAAAAAGCCAGATGTTAGAAAGCCCATGTTAATCTGGAAGAGATTAGGTTATAGCAAGCTGTTGCTGTGGACACCTCATCTATATAGATCCCTCCGTTACGGAACATAACAGTTGGGTTAAATCCATATCCGTTTCTCTTAGGTGTCTACTATACATCAGGGCTCTGGCTTTCTGTAGGCTCTGGATGTCGCTGAGCAATATTAGTCTATAATATCAATTGCCAGATTTTTTAAGAATCTAGAAAAGGGGTTGTAGGTAGAAGGGGTAAGAGAAGGTTGCCCACATCTCCTGGGATCCTGTGAGGAGAAATGGGGTGGAGAGGAGCAGAAAACATTTTCTAGTGCTCCACTTTTTATCCTGATAGATTATAATTCACCAAGGAGAGGACAGCACAATCTCCCACTAATTAGCATGAGGGAAACCGTACTTGTAAGCAGGCGATGGCTCTTTTATTCTGTTCAGTTAAGCATAAATTAGGGTCAATTTTACTTGGAACAACCTTCAAGATTCTGTGTATGATGAATGTTGGTATGGACGAATCTGGATTTCCCTACCACATCCATTATCCTTGCCTTCTCTTCAAAGACACAGTTTTCTAGGGTGCATGGGTGGCTCAGTAGGTTGAGTGTCAGACTTCAGCTCAGGTCATGCTCTCACAGTTCCTGAATTCGAGCCCCGCCTCGGGCTCTGTGCTGACAGCTCGGAGCCTGGACCTGCTGCAGATTCTGTGTCTCCCTCTCTGCACCTCCCCTGCTTGTGCTCTGTCTCTCTCTCTCTCAAAAATAAATAAACTTAAAAAAAAAAAAAAGACACAGTTTTCTTATAAAATACATTATCTGGCAGGCTGACTGCACCTGAAACCAGCATTCATATTCACTGTCACAAGACACAAAGGCAAATTCAAATATTTACCACCAAATGTCCTTAAACATCAAGGTCAATAAGCATGCAAGCATGCTCTCTATTGTTCCTTTTCATCAACTCAACGTAGTTTTTTTTTCCCCCAGCAAGAAAACTAAATAAAGGCAAAGAAACAAACACATCATACATTTAAGCAAGCCTGTTCTCTCTCACACATACATGCGCAAACACATGCACACACCTGTCTCCAAAGTGCTTGATTTGAATATATTAAAATATTTTTGTCAATTTGCTTGCCTATCTGAATGCATGGGTCCAAAGGAAGAGATTTTCTTCTGGGCTGGTAGTACAACTTTGAAAATCTTTCTTCTGTACTTCTAGTTTTTAAGAAAAAAGAAGTGAAAGGTCTTACTGGTTTTTCAAGTATAGTCTCCAGAAGAGTAGCACCACCTGAACTGTAGACCGCAATGTCACAGAGCACCACAACAAACTCCCAGGTTACCACGGGGTATTTTAAATTTGAAATGTACAGCAATATTTGACATGTGTCAGGCTCTAAGCAAACTACTAGCCTGATGTAGCTTAGTTTCATTTGTCAGGCTGAGTTTTGGGGTGGTTACTGTGATAAAAAAAAACAAGTGTGCAAAAATGAACATGAAAAAGAGAGTAATAGTGTCCAACAGGAGTCTAGGGTCGGAGGAGTTATGTGAAGCCAGAAAAACCATCTTGAACCACATTTCTTTTTAAAAAGTTAGAAACACCTTCACATAAAGAGAGTAACATCCATTTTCAGACAATGAATGCAAACCAGAAAAACATGCCCAGAAAGCAAATCAAAACTGTATCTCACTACAAATGCAAATGAGCTAAACGTCATTAAGAAAATGATAGTACAGCCTAAATCAGAATTAAGAAACTCAGAAATGAGGCAAGAATCAGTAATTAGAAAAAAAAAAAATCATTTGAGAGATAGTGGCAAATATTATGTGCTTATTTTAAGCAAAGACACAGTTTTGTGCTTAGCCTTAAGCAAAGATGATCCAACATATGGGTAAAAGGAATTCTTGTAGCAGGAAAACCAATGCAAGGAAATGAAACAAATACTGAAAACTATAAATCAAGAAAACTTTTGAGAGTACAAATCATGGAGGGTTGAATTAAGTTCTGGAGAGGTAATTTCAGGATGGTAACTATAGTTAATACTACTGTACTGTATACTTGAAATCTTCTAAGAGAGTAGACAGACCTTCAGTGATCTCAACACACACACACAAGGTAACTGTGAGGTGACAGATGTGTTAATTAGCTTGGTTGAGGTAACTATTTCACAGTGTATTCGTATACCAAAACATCATGTGGTATATACCTTAAATATATACTACTTTATTTGTTAATTATACCTCAATTAAGCTGGAAATAAATAAAATGGTTTAAAAGAAAAAACTATATGAGCTTAAAAAAAGACATATCATGGATATATTTAAACATTACATGCATAAAGGTCTACCTTCTCTTTGTTATTCTAAAAAAAAAAGAAAAAAAAACCTTAAAAAACCAATATTTGAAACTACATATTGAAAAACACATCACATACCTGAGAATATCAACCCAGAATGAGCAACACCAACTGGACTGTAAAGAAAAAGAAAATCCCTTGGGCATCTAGGCAAAAACATCGAGTTAACTGGTAAGGAAAGTAAATTAAGAGTATCATCAGACTTCAATTGCAATGTTTTATGCCAGAAGAAAATGAAGTTGCATATTTGAAATATATAACTCAAACTTTATATATATGGCTCATCTACATGTGTGCAAGGAATTTATATCTAGCAACATGGGAATATTGACGGACTCCATCAGCCCTTCCTGAGCAAATGAGCGGGGCTGACAAACCAGCCAGAGGTACTTTTGCACAGTCCTCCAGCTAAGAATGGTTTTAAAGGTTGTTAAAAACATACACAGACACACACACAATATGGAATAGGATCACTTTTGGCTCTCAAAGCCTAGATGTTTACTACCCAGCCCTCTTCAGAAAAATTTTGCCACCTCTGGAACTAGAGCACTGACTTCAGACCAAAATGGTAGGACTTTGATATAAGATGGGTGGTAAGCATTAAATATACTGCTACTTAGAAAATCAAATCTAAATAAGGTTGAGAGAGTACAATATATAACGGCTATGTGATCCCACAATGAACTTACAAAGATTTAATACAGCTGAGAAAGGGGGCAGGGAGTAGGGACCACAATGATGAAAATATATTTATTTAATTTTTTTTTTTTTTTTAAATATATTCTAGGGGCATCTGGGTGGCTCAGTGGGTCAAGCGTCTGACTCAATTTCGGCTTAGGTCATGATCTTGTGGTTCATGAGTTCAAGTCCCGCGTTGGGCTCTACACTGACAGTGTGGAACTTGCTTGGGATTCTTTCTGTCTTTCTCTCTCTCTCTCTCTCTCAAGAATAAATATTTAAAAATATATATTCAATTTAAAAATTTTAAACTGGGGTGCCTGGCTGGCTTGGTAGGAAGAGCACGCAATTGATCTCGAGGTCATGGGTATGAGCCCCATACTGGGTGCACAGATTACTAAAATCAAAATACGATAAAATTTAAAAACCTGTAAATTGTTTTCAGAGATCATAATTAGTAGTGGTAGTGTTTGTATTGTTATTATTGTGAGACTGTTGTGTAGGTGTGAAACAAAGCAAATGGATATTCTAATTCCATCATTCTCTGTTGTCCTTTTTTTGGTTTAGTTTTGAAAATGCATTTATAGACTTTTAGCCACAACACTCAAGGAAAATACTCTCGTTAAAGCCAACCCATTTTGGACTAATTGCAATTATTAAATCTGATCACCTATCTGTTGACTCAGCCTCTCAAAGTCTTTCAGTGGTTTTCAAAAATTAAATCTGCCCTCGAAAGACAAAGCTTTACAGCAAACACAATGAAGGACGCTTTGTGGCACAGCCAAGTACTAAGGCCTGAACGGGACAGATTTCAACACACCAATTCCGCTCCTGGTTCCGTCACTGTTTAACTGTGCCCAGCTCTCTATACCTGCTTACCCAGCTTTCAAATGAGGGCCTGTCAAAGGATCCTCATTTTCTCGAGATTTTTTTTGGAAAATGAATCAAGGTTAGAACTGGTGGCAACCTCAAAATAACATTTCTATTACTTGTACCAGAGACACACATATTTCTCTTGAGAAAACTCGCATGTACCATTCAGAATGACTTTTATTCCTCTCATATTTGAGGCCCAGAATGGACGATTTCACATATTAACAGAACAGCTGACCCTGAACAACACAGGTGGAACATGTGATTCAATTATATGTGGATTTTTCACAGTATAGCACTCTAAATGTATTTTCTCTTTCTTATGATTTTCTTAACATGTTCTTTTCTCTAGCTTGCTTTCCTGTATGAATACAGCATCTAATACATTTAACAGACAAAATATGTGCTAATCGGCTGTTTACATTAGCAGGAAGGCTTCCTGTCAACAGTAGGCTATTAGTAAAGTTTTGGGGAGTCAAAAGTCACATGCAAATTTTTTTTACATGCACATTTTTAACTGTGCAGGGGGTCGGTACTCTTAAACCCCCTGTGTTGTTCAAGAGTCAACTGTACCTGGGTATGGAATGCACTGAAAATAAGCCTTTAAAGAAGTTTTACTAGCGTAGACCTCTTGCTCTTTCACTGTGGATTCATTTAGCTGCAAAAGATGTCATTAGGCTAAACTGTGAAGATTCT